CATCACTCATCATCAGCGGCATCGTCATCATCATCAGCATCAGCCTCATCAGCATCCGCATCATCATCAGTCATCACAATCATCATCATCAACATCATCATCATCCTCAACATCAGCATCATAATCATCATCAAATCATCATCATCATCATCACCACCAGCATCAACATCAGCATCAGCACCACAGTCAGCATCATCATCAGCATCATCATTCGCATCAACCGAATCATCATCATGATCAGCATCATCATCATCAGCCGCAGCACCATCATTATCAGCAGCATCAGCATCATCACCAGCGCCGTCAGCACCTGTAGCATCGCCAGCATCGTCATCATCCTCATCAGCATCGTCCTCGCCATCATCATCCGCATCAGCATCATCATCAGCATGACCGTCATCATCAGCATCATCATCACCATCATCGTCATCGTCATCATCAAAATCACGATCAACATCACCATCATCATCATCACCAGCAGCATCATAATCTCAATATACATGTCCATCACGATCGTCATCAGAAGCAACATAACGTTGTCAGCATCATGATCATCAGTAGCAGCGGAATCCGCATCAGCCTCAGCATCGTCATCATCATCACCCGCCCCATCAGCATCACGATAGACAGCACAACCATCGTCACCATCGTCACAACCATTTCCACAATCATAAACGTCGTCATCATCGTCGTCCTCCGCATCATCATCGGAATCGGAATCAGCATCGCAATCACGGTCATCATCCTGATCGAACTACCATCACAACACATCATCGTCCATGACGGCATCCCCAGCGAAATCGCCATCAACCTGACCGATACCATCAACATCAATAGAATCAACATCGCCATCTTCGTCGTCATCACCATCATCATATCATCATCACCATCAGAAGCATCATAATCATCATCATCAGCAGCATCATCATCAGCATCACCATATTCGTCGCAACCATCAGCATCGTCATCACCACCACCACCATCATCGTCATCATATTATTATTATTCAGTATAGCCGTGATAATCATCATCACCATGTCCCCCTGGCGCAAACGAGAAGCGTGGTTTGGAGCACAAGCACCCAGCGTGGGAACGGATGCCAACGCAGCGGGAAGCCGTGCGATACTTCGATATGCGCGCCAGGCACAAAAGGACGATCACGAGCTGAGGGGTCCTGGCCTGACACAGGCATGACAAGCCAGACGCACGGAGGAACCGAGGAGACCCCCAAGAGGTTCCCAGAGGCCCCCAAAAATTGAAACCGGCTTGGGCTACTCGGGCTGAACAGCTTCGACTTGGCTCGCACCCCTTCTTTTCTTTCACTAGTGCCTCTGCGGCTCCTTCGCGCGGCAGCTCGTCTCAGAACCCTTTCTGGATGGGCAGGCGGGCATGTTTTTTGGCCCGCGGGCGCGCGAAACGGGGCGAACTCCGAGCGTGCATGGGCGGGCCACGCCCGTAGCGAAGTCAAAAGCAGCGCGAGCGGCAGGGCAGGTGGGGATCCTTTTGTTCGCGAGCCACACGGGGCAACCGCACGCCGTCAAAGAGCGAAACAACAGCGCCACGATTTGAATTAGGCACCAAGCGCGCAGCGCAGGTGGGGATACTCTGTTGTCAACCGACCGCTAGCGGACAGCCGCGCGGCGTCAACAGTCAAATGCAGCCAGGCCTACGTGCAGGGCGGGAGCCTAAACAACGGCTGGCAAGCGTGGAAGAGGACAGAACAAGGGGAAAAAGAGCGCGGACGACGACCAGGCGAGAAGGGCAGGCGACTAACGCAGCGCAGCTCAGAAGCGAACGACCAAGCCCGGACGCACCAGGAACCCGTCGTCCTCGAAGTACGAGCCCAGCAACATGTACCCGCATGCGGCCTGCTTATCGGCGTCAACCAGATGCCGTGAGCCGAACGGCGTGAGCCCGCCAATGGGACCAGCGGGGAATAGCAGGTGGGAGTACGTCAAGCGTCAGGAATTGGGCACCGCAGTCATGGTAGGTTTGATTTGACTTGGTTCGCGTTGCAGTGCTCTGCGTCGCGCTGCATACACTGGATTGCGTTGCGCTGAACTGCTTCGCATTGCGTTGCCATGCCTTGCGTCGGTTTCATTGGCTGCGCTTCCCTGTGCATAAAGCATTGCGTTGGCTCGACTTGCCGTGCACTGCGTTGAATTTGATGTGACTTGCGTTGTCTGTACTGTTACGTGTGTGCTGCTCGTTTCTGCTCCGTGCTGCTCGGCACCGCTGTGTCGTGAACTGCTCTGCGCTGCGCTGTTCTGCACTGCCCTGCCTCGCACTGCTGTGCATTGCACTCCAGGGTGGGGACATCGTCGGGGGACCCCAGGGAACAGGGGAAGCTTCCCGGGGAACCCAAGGGATCCTGGCCTCGAGACACAACTCGCCGCCAGCAGTCCGCGGCACCGCAGGGAGAGTCAGGGATCGTTCCAGGCAGAGTCCTGTCCGAGACGCAGGGTCCGCGGATCTGGCGACCAAGCAAGGAGGAGGGAGGAGAGGAGGAGGGTGGGAGGAGGAGCAAGGAGGAGGGAGGAAAGGAGGAGGGAGGGAGGAGGGAGGAAGGGAGGAGGGGGGAGGAGGGAGGAGGAGAGGGAGGAAGGAGGAGGAGCAGGGAGAGGGAGGAGGAGAGAGAGGAGGGATGAGGGAGACGAGGAGGAGAGGAGGAGGGAGGAGGGAGGACGAGGAGGGAGGAGGGAGGAGGGAGGGGCAAAGACCTCGTGGCACCATCAGCGACACCACACGGGGAGCGAAGGTGCCTCTCTGGCCCCGCCGCCGCGGGCGGCGGCCACGACGAGGCTCCACGCGACCTGAATTCCGGGCACTGCGGCCCGAGGGCCGGAGCCTCTCCCCAGACCCCAATAGGGAGCTCACGAGCGAAGTGAACCCCACCCCCCACGATTTCTGAGGGGGAGGGTGGGTTTCACTTCGCTCGTGAGCTCCCGAGCGAAGTGAACCCCACCCTCCCCCGAGAAATCGTTGGGGGGTAGGGGTAGGGTTCGCACGTGGCCCCCTACCCAAGCGATCCTTGCTCCGGGGCCCCTGGGTGCAGGGAGGGAGGGCGACGAGGGGGAGGGGCGGGGGGAGGGCGCAACGGCCCGAGGGCCAGAGCCCGTCCTTGGCCCAGAGGGGTCCCTGTTCCAGGGCCCCTGGGTGCAGGGAGGGAGGGCGACGAAGGTTCGGAGGCAACGCATGGGAGCATCCCATACCATCTTGTCGGCTCTTGCGAATCGACACTAATCGACGCTGAATCGACGCTAATCGACGCTAGATCGACACTAACCGACGCCAGATCGGCACTATCTCATCGACTCCCAGACGCTGATCGATGCTCATCGACGCGAAAGACAAAACTACGAGGGTACACAAGACTCCCAGAATTTGCTACCGAACGAAAGGTAGGAGGGCACCAACCATACACCAACACCGGTCCTGGCCAGGATCACCCTGGGCCCAGGATCGGTGTATACGCCCTCCTGCCTTGGGCAGAATGCATCTACACCGATCCTGGGCCCAGGATCGGCCTGGCCAGGATCGGTGCCGGTGTATAGTTGGTGCCCTCCGAAAGAGCGACGAAGGGGAGGAGCGGGGGGAGGGAGGAGGAGGAGGAGGAGGAGGAGGAGGAGGAGGAGGAGGAGGAGGAGGAGGAGGAGGAGGAGAGGAGGGAGGAGGGAAGTGGAGGAGGAGCAGGGCGGAGGAGGAGGAGGAGGTGGAGGAGGAGCAGGGAGGAGGGAAGTGGAGAAGGAGCAGGGAGGAGAAGAGGAGGAGGAGGCGAAGGAGGAGGAGGAGTCCGTGTTCCAGAGCCCCGAGTGCAGGGAAGGAGGGCGACGAGGGCAGGAGCGGGAGCAGGGCGGCGCGCGCCGCAGGCCCGTGCTCCCGGACAAGCCGCACGAAGACGTCGCGGAAGTTGTACAGCTCCCCGTTCGCCACGGCGGCGCCGCTGCCGCGCTGGGCGTTGCGCGCGCGGCGTTGGCGAGAGGCCCCGGCGGCCCCTCGCGGGCTGGACGTCGTCATCGAATGCCTCACCTGAACGGGCCCAGGGACGCACAACAAAAAAAAATGCACCCACGAATCCCTGGATTCCCCGCGGTCTCCCGCGTTTTCTGGGCTTGCGTCTTCACCCCCACTTCCCACAGTTTCCCATATCCTCCCGGGAGTCGACGCTCAATTGTGTCCGTGTTTTTTTCCCCGTCTGACCACAATCCTCATCCTACCTTCTCACCCCTCATCGTCCTCCTCCTCCTCCAGCTCCGACCGCGGCCCTGGCGGACCGGCAGGCTCCCGAGGGCCGGCCCTGAGCAATTCCGTATCAATTCCTCCACGAGCCGGCTTCGTGTTGCGGCTGCCCCGGGAGGGGTCTGGCTCGGGCAGAGGCGGGTGGCGCCACCGCGCTCGAAGGCCGCTTCCGCCACCGCTGGCCCGCTCCTTGGCGCGAACCGGGCTCCGATTGGAGCCGTCCCCAGCAAAGCGGCCGAGGAGGAAGGAGGAGAGAAGGGGGAGGGAGTAGAGGCTCAACACAGTGCCTCCTCCTCCTCCTCCTCCTCCTCCTCCTCCTCCTCCTCCTCCTCCTCCTCCTCCTCCTCCTCCTCCTCCTCTCATCCTCCTCCTCCTCCTCCCTCTCCTCCTCCTCCCCTCCTCCTCCTCCTCCTCCTCCTCCTCCTCCTCCTCCTCATCATCATCATCATCATCATCATCATCATCATCATCATCATCATCATCATCATCATCATCATCATCATCATCATCATCATCATCGTCATCATCATCATCAGCATCATCATCATCATCAGCATCATCATCATCAGCATCATCATCATCATCAGCAGCAGCATCAGCATCATCAGCATCATCATATCATCAGCAGCAACATCATCATCGTCATCATCAGCATCATCAGCAGCATCACTATCATCAGCGTCATTATCAGCATCGTCAGCAGCATCATCATCATCATCATCATCATCATCATCATCATCATCATCATCATCATCATCATCGTCAGCGTCATCATCATCATCATCATCATCATCATCATCAGCATCATCATCATAATCACCATCATCATCATCATTATAATCATCATAATCATCATCAGAATCAGCACAATAATCATAACAATGATAGTAACAAAAAAGGTAAAGAATCAGATTATTTGCACTATTAATCGTAATAACAAGCATACGAATATTAAGAACTAAACATAAAAGTAATAAGAAACATAATGATGATAATGGAGTAATGACGGTGATAATAAAACTAATAATAATCATCATAGTAATAGCAAACATCATCATAATCATCATCATCATCATACAAATAGTCATCATCATCATCATCATCAACATCATCATCATCAACATCATCATCAGCAACAACATCATCAGCAACATCGTCACCGTCATCGTCATCATCAGCAGCATCATCATCATCGTCATAATGATCATCATCAGCATCAGCAGCATCATCATAACATCATCAGAATAGCATCATCAGCGTCATCATCATAAGCATCATGACAAGCATCATAATCATGATAACCACCACCACCACCACCATCATCATCATCATCAGCATCATCATCATAATCGTCATCATCATCAACATCATCATCAGCATAATCGTCGGCATCGTCGTCATCATCATCAGCATCACCATCATCATCATCATCATAAGCAGCAGCATCATCAGCCTCCACATCATCATCATCATCATCATCATCATCATCATCAGTATCACAATCATCCCGATCGTCACAGTCATCACCATCATCATCAACAACAATCAGTTTGAAGACTGTTCGCCTCTCACTGTTTGCGTGTCATTCAGCATGTATACCCAAGTCCATCGATACCCGCCCTCTTCATCTTGAATCGTACCCCCTTATAGGGGTAAATCTTCCCTTCTTGCCACGGGTAATTGGCGTAGCCCTTGAAACAGGAAGACCAGAAAGAATGGAACAGAGAACGAGACAGCGAGGAGGAAGGGAAAGGAGGAAGGGAGGTAGGAGGAAAGGGGGCAAGAGGGAGGGAGGGAGGGACGAGATGGAGGACAAGAGGAGTTAGCAAGAGGGGACGGCAAGAAAGTCTCAGGCGAGATCGCAGTCCATGAGTACATTATAATAAAACCATGAGCGAGAGCGCGATTCCAGAAAGCCGAGAAACCGATTCGTGAATTCGCCGGCCGAACGGGCCAGAGGCGTGTCAAGATCTCCGGTGACCGGTTCTAAGTTCCGCGCGCGCGCAGGGCCGACCCTGGGGGTCCCCGGCCGAAGAATACCTCGGCAGGGTCCCGGCAAGGTCCCATCAGAGATGGTTTCGCTCCTGGGCGCCACACTCGGGGGCCCCCCATGAAGCCCCAAAAAGGGCCAAGATGCCCAAGATAGTCCAAGAGGCGTCGGGGAAAGCACGGCATCGCTCCAAGACACCCAAGATGGCCCCCAAACGGCCCAAGAACTCTCCAAGAGCACTGCCCAGAAGGCCCAAACACGCAACTTCATCGAATTCCCTTCGGTTGTTGAAGGATTTTGACAATCTCGTCGTTGCGGCTTCCCGACGCTCAAAGACGGCCCAAGAGGCCTCCAAGAACGCCCCAAGACGGCCCAAATGGCCCCCAAACGGGCTCGAAGACGGCCCCTAAGGGCTTCAAGACGGCCCAGAGGCCTCCAAGACGGCCTTAGAGGGCCCCAGAAAGGCCCCAAGAGAGGCTCCAGAGGGGGAACACGAAACGACATTTCAAGTAGTCGGCCTTCAGAAGCCCCCAGGAGGCCCCAAAAGACTTCAAGAGGCCTCGACAGGCCCCAGAGGCCCTCGGGAGGCCCCCAGGGAGCCCCCAAGAAGCCCCCAAGAAGCCTCCAAGCGACCCCAGGAGGCCCCCAAGGGGCTCCCAAGGGGCTTCAAAAAGCTCTCCAAAGCTCTCCGATCAGGACTCAAAAACCCAAGGGCCACGAACGCGCCAGCAAGCGCCAGCGACGGTACAAATACGGGCCGGCGGAATGAGCAAAGCGATTGATAAATTGTAAGGAAGTTCTTGAGCAGATTGGAAGGCAGTCTCAGGCGAGAGCGCGATTCCTGCAATAAATTGCTTTGAGGTCTCTAGCGAAAACCCGATCTCAATAGATTCACAGGAAATATCAAGCGGGGGACGCTTGTTGTAGGCCGGGGGCCAGGGGCACAGTCTGGCACAAGATTCTCCCTTGTGAAAAACAAGGTGCGAGCCCCAGGAGGGGCCCTTCAGTTGAAAAAGCACAATGGGCACTTGAGGGAGGATCAATAAGAATTACTGTCGAAATGAGAGGTCTACAATCAAATTATCACCAGTAGCAGCATCATCATCGTCAGCATCAACAACATCATCATCACAATCATCAGCAGCAGCATCATCATGATCATCATCAGCAGCATCATCTTAAGCATTATCGTAATCACCACCATCACCATCAACATCAACATCAACATCAACATCAACTTCACCAATCATCATCAGCAGCAGCAGCATCCTCATCATCAACATCATCATCAGCATCACCATTCATTATCATCATCAGCAGCAGCAGAATCACCATCACCATCACCATCACCAATCATAATCATCATCAGCATTCAGCATCATCAGCAGCATCACCGTTATCATCAGCATCATCATCAGCATCATCATCATCAACATCATCATCGTCATCGCCGTCATCATCACCATCATCATCGGCATCATGGTCACAACCACCAACATTGTCAGTATCTACGTAGTGATCCTCATCCTCATTATCATCCTCAACCGTATCATCCTCCTCGTCTCTTCAGCAGTCTCCTCCTTCCTCCCACCTCTATCCCCCCTTCTCCCTCCTCCCTCCTCCTCATGATTCATCCGCCTTGGGAGAAGGAGAAGGGGGAGGGATGAGGGGAGGGCGTGCGAGGGAGAGAGTCAAAAAGGAAATGAGCACGTAACGACAGCTAGAGAGGGAGAGGGAGAGGGAGAGAGCAAGGGCGACGGGGACAAGGACAGGGACGGTGAAATGCATGCGTACGAATGAGAAAATGCCAATGCAGGAGACAGAAGGACCGAGACAGACACTGCGAAATCGAGAGAGAGCGAGAGATGGGACCGAGAGAGGGTGGGAAGGAGGACGACTGAGAAAGGTGTTGTAACTGCTCTCCACGGCGGCGGAGCGGGATACGGGCGGATGGACACAGGAGCCTGAGCAATGCCCTGAGAAGGTGTATGGCCATGAATCACAACAGGAAAACTGCCACACAGGCCTCGGAAGAAATTAGCGAGCACTCATGCCTCACTCATCTGCCAGTGTCCCCCCCGCAAAGATCAATGTTGCCGGTGGGTTGAATGAGCTGCACTTCGACCGGAGTCTTCCCCGCGCGAGTGTCCACACACACATAGTTTCCCTCCACCGTAATGCCTCATTATCAGATCTTTTGTCCTGGGGGCTCCTGGGGGCAGGCCTCAGCCGAAAAACGGTTCGTCCATACTCCTCCCGAACAGGCCTGCCTGTGCAGGGACCCCTGGTGTTGAGGAGACGTTCCAAGTATCGTTGCCGACTCTTGTGGGCCGCGACTCCTTTCATTAGAGGGCCCTCGCAGTCTCGCAGCAGCTTCTGGGCTCGAGACTTGGCGAAGGCCCCACAAACAACACACACGGCGGAGCCCACCCTCTCGACCACCTCATGTCGACGCGGGGGGGGGGACGCCAAACTCGGGATCGCTTCGGCCCCTCCGACTTCGGCTCCCGAAACAAAACTGGACCTGTCTGGACCGCTCCCGTGGACCAGGGTCCTTGAAACCAGACGGGCCCTGCCTTTGGCCAACGCGCCCCCCCCCAACCAGGACAAACTTCCTCGCGAGCCGCCGCCAGCCGACTGGGAAGGAGGACGGTGCGAGGGCAGGCCATAAATTTCCAGGTGCCACCTTCTAAGAGCCTGAGCCTGTGGATCCGCTCGGGAGCGACCGCGGGACGGGGGCCCCGCACCTTCTTCTGAGCTCGTCCAGCGGTGGGAGGAGGCAGGTTCGTGGTGGCCACCTTCGACTCTGACAGCTTTACGCGAGAAGAGGCCACAAAACTCAAAATCCTACACATGAGCTTCAAATCAGCCTTAAACTGGTCAACTCGCCATTGCGGTGCTGCATACTCCTCAGCGCCTTGTCTCGCGCGGGAGTTGGCACACTTATTCATCAGGAACGACACTAGAGACTCCCCCATCTAGGTGAGCTCTCTGCGCGACGGGTGGGTGAGACTTTATCTTGGCAATCTGGAGGTTCACCCCAGGCATGAGCCCATGGTCCTCCAAGACAGCCCAAACCCTGCGCCACAGATGTGCGGTTATCTGGTCGCTCCTCTCACAAAAAATCCCTACCAGCCAGGAGGCCCTCAACAGCTTTCTCCTTGTAAACGACTCTTCCCTGTCGCACCCCGAGACGAGTCTTCAGGGCGGGCCAAGCGTTTTGCTTGAGACTGCCTCACAAGTTGTGACCAGTTGGCTTAACAGTTGAAACAGTTTCACGGATGAAGGGCGGGTGGCTGTCAAAACGTGGCTATCGCCTGAGCGCCACGCAAAAATTTGCAAGAGCTTCACTGACAGAGGGCGAACGGTTTGGAAAAATGTGGCTCTCGCCTTCGCGCCGCGCACATTCGTCTTCAAAGTTTGCAAGAGTGGAGGGCGGTGTTGTGCAAAAATGTGGCTCCCGCCTGAGCGCCGCACAAATTCATTTTGAAAGCTTGCAGGGGCTCCACGGATGGAAGCTCTTGCCTAGCGCCACGCACATTCGTCTCGAATGTTTGCAAACGGGTGGAGGGCGAGTCCGTTTCAAAATGTGGCTCCCGCCTTAGCGCAGCGCGGATTCGATGTTGAAGAGTTTGCAACGGTTTCGAGGCGTCTCATGGCCGACGTCCGAGAAACTGCGTTCGGGCGCGATGTAGGACTGACAGGTCGCAACAGTCACGTTGATTCGCGGTGTTGAAGTCCAAGGGATGGCGTTCTGGCAGGATTCAGGATCGTCAGGACGCAAAGGCAACGTTGATTCGCGGCGTTGAAGGCCCAGAAAAGGGCTTCTGGCACGGCTCACGACGTTCAGGCGGTTGTCTTCCGACGGGCACTTCCCTCAGTGAAAATGAATCATTGTTGAAAGATATGACGAGGGAGCTCGGAGGGAGGGTGTATTCCAAAATCGTTGAGGATCCTTCACCTCCTAGGGAGAAAGATGGGGAGGAAAGGGAGCTGTGGAGAAGGGAGGGCGCCGATCGGGGAGGACGATGGGGAGGAATGCCTGCCAACTCCCAGCCTCCCTTCTCCGTCTTTCTCCCTTCACCCGATTCGGTGGCAACTCATGGGAGCCTCCCATACCATCTTGTCGGCTTTTGCGAATCGACGCTGGTCGATGCTAATCAACGCTAAATCGACGCTCATCGACGCATACCGACGCTGAATCGGCGAAACCTCATCGACTCCCAGACGCTAATCGACGCCAGCCGACGCTAGAGACGGAAGTGCGAGGGTATACAAGGCTCCCAATGATTTGCTGCCGAAGACCGCCACCCGCTTCCTCCTCCTCCTCCTCCTCCTCGTCCTCCTCCTCCTCCTCCTCCTCCTCCTCCTCCTCCTCCTCCTCCTCCTGCTCTCCCCCTACTCCTCCTTCTCCTCCTCCGCCTCCTCCTCATCCGCCTCCTCCTCCTCCTCCTCCTCCTCCTCCGCCTCCTCCTCCTCCGCCTCCTCCTCCTCCGCCCTCCTCCTCCGCCTCCTCCTTCTCCTCCTCCGCCTCCTCCTCCTCCTCCTCCTCCTCCTTAACTCTCCTCCTCCTCTCTCCTCCTCCTCCTCCTCCTCCTCCTCCTCCTCCTCCTCCGCCTCCTCCTCCACCTCCCCCTCCTCCTCCTCCTCCCCCTCCTCCTCCTCCTCCTCCTCCTCCTCCTCGGCCCCTCGGGGCTGCTCGGCATCAGCGCCAGGCCATCCGCGACGGTGCAGAGCGTGGGTGGCCTCCCGCGACGGACGGGCGGGCGCCTCGAGCGGCTGCTTCCCGTGTTGCGGGTCCTGGCGGCCGGGCCGCCGCCACTCCGGGGCGCAGGCAGGGGGAGGGGAGGAGAGGGGGGGAGGGGGGGAGAAAGGGAGAGAGAGAGAGAGAGAGAGGAGGGAGAGAGGGGGGGAGAAAGGCAAGCTAGGTGCGCTCGCGTCATATCTGACGTCCTACCCCTCCCTCCCATGCCTTACCATGGCGCTGATTTTCTCTATCCGCGGACGCGTGTCGTAGCGGACCTGTGGCTCCGCGCGCGCGTGCGTAGTGGGTGGTGGTGCACGTGCGTGCGTGCGTGCGTGCGTGTGTGCGTGGTTGTCGTGGTGGTGGTGGTGGTGGTGGTGGTGGTGGTGGTGGTGGTGGTGGTGGTGGTGGTGGGTGGTGGTGGTGGTGGTGGTGGTGGTGGTGGTGGTGGTGGTGGTGGTGGTGGTGGTGGTGGTGGTGGTGGTGGTGGTGGTGGTGGTGGTGGTGGTGGTGGTGGTGGTGGTGGTGGTGGTGGTGGTGGTGGTGGTGGTGGTGGTGGTGGTGGTGGTGGTGGTGGTGGTGGTGGTGGTGGTGGTGGTGGTGGTGGTGGTGGTGGTGGTGGTGGTGGTGGTGGCGGTGCGGCGCGGTGGTGGCGGGCGGATGGGCGCGCGAGAAAAAGGCCCGCGCTGGGGCGAGAACGCCATCCTGAACGACGGAGGCCAAACACCGATCCGAAAATGAGGCCCACGCTGCAGCGGGAGCACGATTCGGAACGATTCGGGAGCAGAAATGAGGCCGGCGCCTCAACGAGAGCAGCATTTTGGGAAAAAATGACGCCGGCGCCTCAGCGAGAGTCGTTTCCCGGGATTTCCCGGGCATCCTGTGTAAAAAAACAGTACGCGGAGGGTGCGCGGCCATCACCCGGACGCCATCAGGGGAAGAGGGAGAGTATTTTCATATTGAGTAATTGGACAGGAGGGGGGAAGAGGGAGAGAGGGAGAGAGGAGAGGGGGATAGAGGGAGGGGAGAGGGCAAGCTAGGTGCGCTCGCGTCATATCTGACGTCCTACCCCTCCCTCCCATCCCTGACTATGGCGTAGATCTCCTCTCTGTTCGCACAGTTGGATGTCGGAGCAGGGCATAGTATTACATGGCACGGCATGGTGTTGAAGATCAACGCGTAGCCTGACGCCCCAAAGCAGTGGGGGTTCTGCGGCCAAAAAAATCAACGAATCGGCACCTACTGTGTAATCACTTCCGATGGTTGCGTCGGGGGGGCATTTTCTAATTTGGAGGTCCTATTTGGGAGGACAGGAAACCATGCCGTGGCATGGCGCTGGAAATAATGACGCAGCGGGAGCACGGTTCGGAACGAGCGGAAGCGCGGAATCAAGGCCAGCGCTGCAGCGGGAGCACAATTCGGAATGAGCGAAAGCGTGAAAACGAACCCAGCGCTGCAGCGGAAGCACGATTCGGAACGAGCGGAAGCCCGAAAACGAGGCCAGCGCCTCAGCAAGAGCAGCACTTCGGAGAAAACACCTATATATATATATATATATATATATATTAGATGTCTACATGTATACATACATACATACATACATACATACATACCTACCTACCTACCTACCTACCTACATACCTACATACCTACATACCTACATACATACATGCATGCATGCATGCATGCATGCATGCATGCAGACAGACAGACAGACAGACAGACAGACAGACAGACAGACAGACAGACAGATATGCATAGCTACATGCCGACATACATACATATACATACATACCTACATACAAACATACATACAACCATACATACATACATACATGCATACCTATATGCATACCAATATATATATATATATATACACAAACATACATATATACATACATTCCGACAGACATGTATACCTACATACATACATACATGCATGCATACATGCATGCATGCATACATGCATACGATACAATACATTACATTGCACTACATTACATTACATTACATTACACTACACTACACTACACTGCAGTACATTACATTGCATGACAGTGCAATACATTACATTGCATTATATTACATTACATTACATTACATACATAAAAATACACGTATGTATACATACATACATACATACATACATACATACATGCATGCATGCATGCATGCATGCATGTATGCATGCATACAGAGTTACATATATACATACATATATACATACATGCATACATACATACATACATACGTGCGTGCGTGCGTGCGTGCGTGCGTGCATGCATGCATGCATGCATGCATGCATGTGTACATGCATGCATACATACATACGTATATACATACATGCATGCATGCATACCTAGATACATACATACATACATACATACATACATACATACATACATACATACATATATACATATGCATGCATGCATGCATGCATGCATACCGACAGACAGACAGACAGACAGACAGACAGACAGACAGACAGACAGACAGACAGACAGACATACACATATACATATACATATACATATACATGTACATATACATATACATATACATATACATATACATACCTACATACATACATACATGTAACGGAAATCTAGCTCGCCGACATCCTGTGTGTACGCGAGGGGGGCCGAACACTCCGAGACAGATTCCGCCACGGACTCAGGGGAGAGAGGAGAGCAGTATGCATTTGGAGTAACTGTGGATGGAGAGGGGGAGAGAGAGAGAGAGGGTGGGGGAGAGGGTGGGAGAGAGGGAGAAAGGCGGTGCGAAAGAGAGGGAGAGAGAGAGAGAGAGGGAGGGAGAGAAGAGGGGGGGGGGCGCCAGCGTGTTGTCCCTCCCTGGGCCACGTTGGCGTCGTGGGCTGGTGCGTGGGCCCTCGCCCTCCCCCTATCCCCATCACGAGGCCAGCGGGGAGGCGAGGGGGGGGGGAGAGAGAGAGAGAGAGAGAGAGAGAGAGAGAGACCTGCAAATGGAGCAGAATCGGGGACAGGAGGAGAGAGGAGGAGGATCTAAGAGGAAGAGGAGGAGGAGGAGGAGCGAGGACAAGGGATGGGGAGTGGGAGCGAAGGGAGGGGGGAGGAAGGGGAAGGGAGGGAGAAGGAAAGGGGGAGGAGGGAAGAGGAGAGGAATAAGAAGGATGTGGGAGGAGGGAGGAACAAGAAGAGGGAGACGGCCCAGCTGTGCACCGCTTGCGAAAGTAGCTTCGAACATGTCACGCTAAGAGGCAGGACACATTGCGATCCACCACTTGGCACCACTGCGTCTGGACAGGATGCCGACCACAACGCAGAAAAACTGACTCTGACATGCTCTCGACGTGATTCTCGGTGCGCGCGTCGCCCCTGTGAGTGGAGCGACACCCACATAGTATTGATATGGTGGGGGGGTGACGTCGAATATACACAGCGGCAAGAGGCCCACGTCTTTGCCGACGAAGGGAGCAAAGACAAAAACAGCGAACCCGCGGCCGGGGACGGCAGCGGGAGCCAGCCCAGGCAGAGAGCGGCCGAGTGGAGCCACTGCACCCAGACTGGCGGTGCGGAGAGGACCGCGAAAGGGCAAAGTGGGCTGATCCCTCGTCTGATATGGTGTCCACCGTCCTTGTTTCACAGATGCTCCTGCGCGATCCTCACAACAGCTCGACGAACGAGTGCCCTGGGCGTTGGCCGTTGGCAACGTTTAGCCGTTGGCCAGGGCACGTAGGCCCGCGCTCGCTGAGCACCACGGTTCTGTTCTGCCTTGTGGGCCTTGCAATAGGTCGGGCATGTCCTCCTACAGGCGGATTTTGGGCGAAAAACAAAAATTCAAAAATATTCTACAATAGCCAAAAAATACTCGAAAAAACGTCCCCCGACTTAAGCCTTGCAACAACGACATCTCGACTTAGAGTGCATTTTGTAGAGGCTGGCGGGAATGAACGAAGCGTGAGGAATCAACTTCAAAGGCCGAGGCAATCAGAAAGAGCGGGTCCATGATCGCCAGACGTCGATGTGCCATGGCCCACGATTGCCTGGCACCGGGAAAGCCCACATGCAACCATCAATCGAAGAGATGCATTCGACTGTCCCGCGGCGAAAACAGCAAAAAATCCGCCGACCCTGTCAGCGTTTGTGAGAGGCTCTTCGACGCAATGCCAGCCCAACCCAAACTGAAGTACGCCAGCCTCCTTTGAATCGTCGCCGTCGTAAGGAAGATCGAACAAACAATGGAGATCTAACACTGTCGCAATTACGTCGAAGGGAAGCCCCTTCCCTGTGTCCTTTCCCCGCCAGGGGGGTGGGTCTCCAGGTAGGAGACCCGGGGGTGGTCCCTGGGGGGTGGCCCCCGGGCGGTTCCTGGGGAGGGGTTCTGGGGGCGTCCCGAGGGTCCTGACCCTGACCCCGGGCAATCCGCCCTCAGGATAAGGAGTGCAGGGGGATGGTCTCCGTGTCGGCAGGGGAGCTCAGGACCCCTCCCCCCGCCTGGCCCCAGCTCCGCCCCCGGCCCCGGCCCTGGCTCCAGCCCCAACACCGCCCTCTGGCCGGGCCCTGGCCCCGGCGGGCCCCAGCCTTGGCACTGGGTTAATCGGGAACCGGGAACTAAATACCGGGAAGCAGGAACCTGGAACCAAAAGCTGGGAACTGGGAACCGGGAACCAGGAACCTGGAACCAAAAGCCGGGAACTGGGAACCGGGAACCAAGAACCTGGAACCAAAAGCCGGCAACTGGGAACCGGGAACCATGAACTGAGAACCAAGAAACGGGGAACTGGGAACCAAAAACCGAGAACCCCGAACCGGGAACCGGGAACCCGGAACCGGAAACCCAGAACGGGGAACTGGGAACCAAGAACCAAGAGATGGGAACCGGAAGCCATGAACCGGGAACCAGGAAATATGAATCTAAAACCTGTGTTCGGGAACTGGGAAACGGGAAGAGGGAAAAAAAGAAGAAAGCATACACTCTCATCGATGCACCTATATGCATGTATGTATATATATATATATAAATATCCATATACATGTGCATTTCTAAACACATAGACAGATATACATACACATACGTATATATAGATATATACACACACACACATGTTACACCAAAGGAAAACCCAGTCAGTGGATGGTCTGAAATTCGTGATATGGATATTGAGCTCGATTGTGCGATCGATTGTGAGACCGATAGTGGGATCGGTGGTGAGGACGATAGTAAGGTTGATCGTGAGACCGATCGTGAAGTCGATTCAGTAAGATCGATGGTGAGATCGATCGTGAGATCGCTCGTGCGATCTATGGTGGGATCGATTGTGAGATCAATAGAGAGGTGGGTAATGAGATCGATGGTGAGACCCATCGATAAGGAGGTCGCCCAAGAACCCCGAAACCCGGAAACACGGGAACCCCGCCGCCCACCGAACTCGGTCCGGACCCAGCAACCGGGAACCCAAGAACCCCGAAACCCGGAAACACGGGAACCCCGCCGCCCACCGAACTCGGTCCGGACCCAGCAACCGGGAACCCAGAAACCTGGAACCGGGAACCCGGAAACCTGGCCCCCTACCGAAATCGGCCCGGAGATTTCGCAAAATATTTGAATCTCCGCTAGGACCCCTTCAAGAGCACTGATTAGGAAATGTATGTGTACATGTACATACATATACATATATATATATATATATATATATTATATATATATATATATATATGTATGTGTATATGTATGTGTGTGTAAATTTATATGTAGATGTAGAGGGAGAGAGGAAGAAAGAAAGTAAGAAAAAGACAGAAAGAGAGACAGAAACAAAGTAAAGAGCTTGAGAGAGAGAGAGAGAAAGATCTGGCACTGTCTCTGGGCACGCAGTGGGCGTATCCTCAGGTCCTTTGCCTAATACCTGGAGTCTCAATCCGCACTCCCTCGAAAGGGCCTGGACCCAAAAATCCGAGATTTGGCAGGGCTCCTGGCGTGCCACCTGGTCTTTGCCAAGAGGTGGCGCGTGAATTGTTCGGGCCCAAGATGGCCCGAAGACGGATCAAGAGGGCACAAAGAGGCCCCGAAAACGCCTCAAGAGGGCCCGGGGTCGCCGAAAGGTCGGCCCAAGACGCCCAAGATTGCCCCCAGACGGCCCAAGAGGACTCCAAGACGCCCCAAGTGGCCTCCCAAGAAGGCCCCAAAGAAGGCCCCAAGAGGCCAAAATCAGCGATTTCCCTAGATGTTCCATGATTTTTGTTCTACTCGTCTGTTCGGCTTACGTACCAACGCTCCAAGACGGCCCTAGAGGCCTCCAAGACCGCCCCAAGACAATCAAAAACGCTCCCAAGACGGCCCCGAGACGGCCCAAGAAGGCCCCAAGACGGTCCCAAAGGCGCGCAAGACGGCCCATGAGGGCCCCAAGACTGTCCCAGAAGGGGCCCTTCCGCCCCAAGAGGCCCCCAGGAGGCCCGAACAGGCCCCAAGAAGCTCCCAAGAGGCCCCAAAGCGGCCCCAGTGCTTCCAAGAGGCCCCCGACAGACCTCCCACGAGATCCCAGCGAACATCCCATGGGTTTCATACCCACAACGAATGTGGCGACCTAAAGGCCTTACTTGTCCTCGGCCCCAGCCCCGGCCCGAGCCCCGGCTCTGGCCCCAGCCCCAGCGCCAGCCCCGGCCAGCCCCCGAGGAGACAGACGGCTCTCCTCCTCTTCCTCCTCCTCCTCCTCCCTCCTCTTCCTCCTCCTCCTCCTCATCCTCGTCCTCCTCCTCCTTCTCCTCCTCCTCCTCCTCCTTCTCCTCCTCCTCCACTTCTTCTCCTTATAAATAACTCCTCCCTGCCGCACCCCGAGGCAAGTCGAAATAGCGGGCCAGGCGTATCGCCTGAGACTTCCTCACCATGTATTGCATTGAAGCGTACAACCTCATCGTTTTCGCCGTTGCGCCGCGCACATTCGCATTAAAAGTTTGCCGAAGTTTCATGGATGGAGGGCGGGTCGTTTTCAAACTGGGCCTCTCGCTTTAGCGCCGCGCACATTCGCTGTTAAAAATTGCAATACTTTCAAGGATGGAGGGCGGTTCCTTTTCAAAACGTGGCTCTCGCCTGGCGCCGTGCACGTTCTTTATAAAAAATGGCAAAAACGTCGCGGAAGGAGGGCGGTTCCTTCTTCAAAATGTGACTCTCGCCTTAGCGCCGTGCATAGCCGTTGAAAACAATTGCGAATTTCACGGGTGGAGCGCGGTTCCTTTTCAAGATGTGGCTCTCGCCTTAGCGCCGCGCAGATTCGTTCTAAGAATTGACTACCGTTTCAAGGATGTGCATGGTTAATGTCCCAGGCATGGTGTTGTGGCACATTGTCAGCGCGCACAGATACGTTGATTCGTGGTGATGACGTCCCAGAAATGGCGTTCTCGCACAGTTCAGGACTGTCGAGCGGTTGCTTTCGAACGGGGCACTTCCTTCAGTGGAAGCGAAACTTGTAGTGGCCTACAAAAAAAGAGCTTGGAGGAAGGGTATAGTTGAACATCGTTGATGAGCTTTGGGTTAACACTGGTCCTCCTCCCCTTCCTTCTTCTCCTCCTCCTCCTCCTCCTCCTCCTCCTCCTCCTCCTCCTCCTCTTTCTGCCCCTCCCCCTCCCTCTCCCCCTCCCCCTCCCCCTTCCCCTCCCTCCTCCCGCCTCCCTCCCTCCCTCACTCACTCCATCCTCCTCCTCCTCCTCCTCATCATCATCATCATCATCATCATCAGCAGCATCAGCATCATCATCAGCAAGAGCATCATCATCGTCATCATCAGCATCTTTATCTTCATCATCATCATCATCAGCATCATCATCACCACCACCACTATCATCATCATCATCATCATCATCATCATCATCATCATCATCATCAGCATCAACATTATCATCATCATCATCACCATCATCAGCGTCATCGTCATCGTCATTGTCATCAGTACCATCAGCATCATCAGTGATCACCATCACCATCATCAGCATAATCATCATCAGCATCAGCATCAGCATCACCACCACCATCAGCATCATCAGCACCATCACCATCATCAGCATCATCATCAGCATCAGCATCAGCATCAACATCACCACCACCATCAACATCATCAGCAGCATCAGCATCATCAACATCATCACCAGCATCATCATCCGCACCATCATCGTCATCACCACCATCAACATCATCACCATCAGCAGCATCATCATCGTCAGCATCAACACCATCACCGTCATCGTCATCGTCAGCATCATCACCAGCAGCATCAACAGCATCAACATCAGCATCAGCATCAGCCTCAACATCAACATTAGCATCATCATCCTCATCAGCATCATCATCAAATGCATAAACACTATCATCATTATAAACATCACCAGCATCAGCATCAGCATCATCAGCATCAGCATCAGCATCACCACCACCATCAGCATCATCAGCATCATCAGCATCATCAGCATCATCACCAGCATCATCATCCGCACCAGCATCGTCACCACCACCATCAACATCATCATCATCATCAGCATCATCATCGTCAGCATCAACATCATCACCGTCATCGTCATCGTCATCATCACCACCAGCAGCATCAGCAGCATCAACATCAGCATCAGCATCAGCATCAACATCAACATCAGCGTCATCAGCATCATCAGCATCATCATCAAATGCATAAACACTATCATCATCATTATAATCATCATCAGCATCAACATCAGCATCATCATCATCAGCAGCATCGTCATCAGCATCAGCATCATCATCAGCATCATCAGCATCATCATCAGCATCATCAGCATCATAATTATCATGATCATCATAATCATGGTAAGTATCATCATCATCACCACCATCATGATCCTCGTAATCATCAGCATCATCAGTATCATCATCGACCTCCTAATAATCATCATCATTATCATCATCACCATCATCAGCGAGATCCTCATCGTCATTGTCATCAGTATCATCAGCATCATCAGCGTCATCACCATCACCATCATCAGCATAATCATCATCAGCATCAGCATCATCACCAGCATC